ATGTTCTCCTTGAAAATACACAAATGGTTCTAAGTATACACAGCAAGAACGAAAACTATACCATTTATCTTAAAATCAATTGATAAAAAAAGAGGATATATCGGTGCTCTGTAGTATTGGCCGTGTGCAACCGAAGGGAAAACCTTTTTCGCACAGACACTGCGTGATTTCACTAAGAATTTACGGAAAACAGAGTTGTTCTTAACTTATGTTTTACTGTGTACGTGTTTATTTAACGATTTGGTCCATTTTCCAAACTAGCATGCATGCAAGAACTTTCGAGCTTTTGCCAAATTTAAAACCCACAGAGTCTCTGAAGATTCTTCTGAAGATTGCAAACATTTTGAAAAGTATATAAACATCGTGTATTTGTAAAACCTAGGACATGAATGTAACAGTACACATTACGAACTATTCTTGTTAAGTTGTGTTAATTCATTTACACGCTCATGTCACATTTTAGTAGTTAATTTACGTACACACTAGGTAAGAGTGGATCTAACACTAATCCTTGTGAGTCTCCTCTAGTAGTCAGAAGCACCTATACCACGTTTAAGTATGTGACTACCGACAGCTAAGTACGAATGAACGCTTCACTACAAAAAGCTATACATCTTTTCAAGTTTAGCACAAACAAAAGCAAGGTAACCGAATCAAACGTCTGTTAAAAGTTAAATAGGACAAGGATTTGCATGTTTTCAACATCGGTGCTGGACCTAATGTCATCCGTAATCTTTGCTAAGACGGTAACGCTGCTACGTTTACGTTAAAAGCCAGAATAATTTGGGTCAATTAAATCGCGCTCTAAGACTTTTTTGGAAATTTGATTATAAAGCATTTTTTTAAAAATTTTCGAGAGGTACCCAAGGGTCCCAATGGGCCGGTAATTATTGACTCCTGTTGGCAGGGGTTAATTGTTGACATACTTCGAGCTTGTAAGAAAACCACTCGTCCATTATTGTGCTTATAATATTCGTGATCGATGAAAATTTCGGCAACCAAAGTTTAATAGTATCTCTTCTTGAATCACACAGCTAGTGTTGAAGACATACGAAGAGTTATGAATGGATGGCTGTCGAGCTATTTCATTATTATCTAAAGCAGAAGGCACCGGCATTTCAACAATGTTTTCATTTTAACGACCCATCTCTACATTTGTCATTCCGCAGGTTTTCTCAATGTTTGTACCCATTTTAGCACTGTTAGATTGAAGCATTTCAAATGCCTATACTATTCCGTGCTCTTACTATATTTTTAGTGTCAGTGGTTAAACCGTTTTATCGGTAAAAAGGAACCTTAAGTTGGTGTCAAAAAATTCAACTTTGTCATCAACAATTTGTGTATAAATTAGACCCGATGTTATATCTCCCATCCCAGCTATCAACCTTTCATAATAAAGTCATGGCATGTAACACCTGCTCAGAGCGAATTAGTATGTAGAAAGGAAGTGGTCATGCTTAGAAAATTGTGGGAGCACATAATTGATCATAAAACGAGGCATTATGAGGATTACGTACAAAATACAGATCCAAAAGTGTATTAATCGTTTGAGTAAAGTGTTTTGGCGCCATTATGGGGGATGTAAATTTAGTTAATGCAGGTCGCCTGTAAGTGTATTTTCGGGTAAAAGAATTAAAATAGCCAAGGTTAGTTGTATTTGAGTGGCATGCTGAAGGATTGTCAAAAAGCCGTTGACCTCAATAAATACAAATTCAATAAGCGAGTTATTTGATGATTTGCAGATACATTTACAATGAATATTACTTACGGGGATAGGTATTCGACCAACATGTGTCAACTTACTAAAAAACTTTATAACCATTAAGAAGAATAACGCTATCTGACAAGTCAAGGTAGAACCAAGTTTCAGATACCTGTATTATGTCTATCATCGCGCTTTCAGGCAAGTGTCTAAACTCATCCAAATCTTTACTGAGACGTTGCTTATTAATGTGTACAATTCTTAAACCAACGTTACAACACATACCACGCAATTCGTGCTGTATTGATCATTCCTACGTGTTAGCTTGGTTAACAATGTTTACAAAATAACCAGCAAGACAGATATACAGGCATCCACCGCTTACCACGATTAATTCATACCGTGCTATACTGAAACAGTGTTATGCGAAACTTTTTTATTCTGTTTTGTGAACCAATATATCATGTCGAATAACATAATTTAAACTGAGATATAAGATAAATCAAAAAAATATGTACCGTTTTGGATCGAAACCTCTTTCGTGCTGCACCGAAATTGGTTTTAAGACACCGTGAAATAATGGAAATCAACGCAATCTGTTTAGTTTTGTATCAAAACTAAATCCTAATTTGTAAAAATTTTGTTTTTAATTTTTGTAAAAAAAAAATATGAAGTTCAACATGACGAAAAATATATTAAAAAAATAATAAGTACGATCACAAATTCAATTTTCATCTAATCTATTTTCCTTTCTTAAAGTCGGTCGAAACACCTTTAATTAACAATAAAACGAAAATAAATTGAAAACGCATTTCCCATCTTTTGAAACGATGTGCGAAACATATTATAATATTCAAATATCGTGTACTGTGTTGTATCGAACTGGGGCTTCACAAGTGCCTTGTTAAAGAGGGGACGCCCGTACATACTCCTGAAGCTGTTATATGTGCGGGGTGGTTTATTATTATAAAAGGAATGAAAAAAATTTATGGCTTGCGAACTAGAATGCTGAATATCAGATGTACTGAACAAATATAACTTCATTGTGTATTTACCATCGAATGTTTTACATGCCATACTAATAAAATAATCATTTTTAATATTTAGGTAGTTAAGCAACGTGGTTAGTGTACACGCATACTTTTGCAAAGTACTAATTCCGATTTTCATATTGTAAGTTGTATAAATGAAAGAGAGTTGGCAGACTGTTTTAATCGCTCTCTTTTGACTAACAATAATCCAAACAAAGTACTTAGTTGTTCACTTTCCGCAATAAGCCTCGCTTCATTTTCCTTATTCCTTACAATGGACGCAATGACCGTGTAAAACAAGGACTGACTTTATTTTATCCAATTTTTCTAATTTATATTGAATATGCCGCAATTATCGTCTACTTACAAATTTTTTTGGTGTCCTTTCCAATTTGATTTAACCGCAACTGAGATTTATGTCCTTTAGAATGCTTAATGGTCGGCAGTAAAAAGTTCCGATCATAGGCAGCAGAAAACCATTGTAGGGCCATCAGAAGTATCACAATTAACTCTGAAAACTTCTTTAAACTTGGAGGTGACAATCACAATAACTTCAAGAGCGCCCACAGTCCCGAAATCAGCTCTTCTTGCTTACTGTTTTGTTTTACACAGAACCGAGTTAGCAGGTTCCCTATTACGTTTGCATTCGCCGCCATTATTTAACAAACGAAAAGAAGAATAATCAGTATTTTTAGGAGAAGCTTGTTTATGAATTTCTCAATCTATCTACTTTTTTCGGCAGAACGAAAATGGCCTCGTATGAAATATTTGTCGCTTGTTTAATAAAATAAGACATCTCTCATCTCTCTTGTCCGTTTCCGCTTGCTTTTTATTAAATTATATTTTTCATACTAAACAAATCAAACAATGACTCTCAAATGCCCAATCAATTCCTTGTGAGTATTGTTACATTCGTAAATGGCACAACTAATATTGAAATGGTTAAATGTGGTTACCTTTAAGTAAATTAAAAATTAATTTTTGTGAAAGCACCACAATATTCATTCAACCTAAACCTCTGCGTAAATACCCAAAGAATTTATGTTGCCCGTCATAACATAACGTTTTATATTGTGAAACGGTAAATTAGATATACGAAATGCAAAAAATTGGTGTTCTAACACGTGTTATATCTTTTTTCTAAACACACTTGAACACATTGAACTGTCAACAGATGATAGGATCTCCAGGACATGCACATATGGAGTAATAAAATTATCCATGTTTGGTAAACTTCCATATTATGCCGTACTTATTGTTTTTGATTTTAGGGTGTGCCTGTTTTAATATTTGCTAACAAACAAGATTTGCCTGGTGCTCGCGAGCCTAAGGAACTGGAAAAGCTTTTGGGTTTATATGAGTTGGCGACGCCTGCGCTACAGTACACTTCACTTGGTAAAGCGTCGTCGTCGACTGGGAACGTTGTTAGTTTCAACAACAGTAATACTATTAACAGGATCCCTACTACCGAGATCAAGTCTAACTTTGCATCCGAAAGCTCAACACAATTTAACAATATGTCGTTGCAAGGGTACGAAAATAATATTAATTGTTCAATTTCTCGCATAACAAGAGATTTAAGCATAACTTTACCTGCGATATCCACCTCACTGAGTTCATCATTAGAAGAGGCCTCCGTCTTATCCGGTTCAAGCTCGATGAATAGAGAGAAAGCTCTATCTGCACAAAACCCTAGTAACCTGATATTTCAATCGTCTCCCTCTTCACTAGTAACATCGCCTACATCAACTATACCTACAGGTGGTGCTAGTGCGATTCTTTTACCTCAGAAGCTTACACTTTCTGCTGCGTCAACAAGTGTACAATTAAAAAACAATAGCGGCTGTACAAGCAGTGTCACACAATACAAAGGCTGGCATATTCAACCGGCTTGTGCAATAACTGGGGAAGGGTTACAGGAAGGATTAGAAGCTTTGTACGATATGATATTGAAAAAACGTAAGCTACATAAAGTATATAAAAAAAAAACGATAATAACTCAAATTAAACATTAGATAAGCAGATAAGTTGAACAGGAAAACAATAGGTATTTATGTAATAAGTGGATAAGTTATCTTAATATTTAATGTTTTAAATACGTTTAATGGTCGTGATATTTTAGCTAAAACGAGACAAGAAGTGTTTGTTTACTTTGAAAAAACTTTCAAATAAAAATCTTAATGTTTACTATGTAGAGTTTATTATGTTATAATAAAAAATTATTGCCGAATGCACGAAGAACGCAATAAAATAAGCGTCAAATCTCGTCGCAACGTGTAAATTTTGGTAACGTTACCCGTTGTCGGAAGAAAAGTAATTAAAAAGTAACGTAACTTAGAGTAAAAAAGAGAACTCTACTTTTTAGTTTTATAAAATGAAAAATTAATTTCTTCGGAAGTCTTGTTTGTTGCAGTAGTTTTCGTTTAGTTTTCTTGGTTTGTTTTAAAATAATCAAGTTGACCTGGAATAACGCACTTTATTCGGGAAGTCAGGTAATTAAATGATAATGAAATTGGCCATTGCATTTGTTCCCACGTTAAAGGAAACGAGTGAACATACATTGTTACTTGCATGTAAGCAAATGGCATGGTATTGATAACCAACAATGACGAGTTTAAATACATTTAAAAAAAAAATTAAGCAGTGAATTTTAAGTAGGATTATTTTGTGAAACTAAAAAATTATTAAATATTTGGATGTGTAAAAGAGAGAATAATTCAGTCCGAATAAGTAGCCGAGTAGACAAAGGATCGCGACTAATAGCTCACTGGTCATGGATTCAAATCACAAATTCGGTAGAGTTTTCAATGTAGGCTAGCGTATTACCTAAGTTTTGCAGCGGCCTTTTAAATCCACACTTTCTAAATTTGTTTACAGAATAGATGGACAATAAGTAAAAAAATAAAATTGATTTTGATGTAGAAGATCACCTTAACACTTTCGCAAAATTTGGTATGCAATTTTGTAAAAAGTTTAAACACATTTAGATAGTTAATAGATAAAGCTTCGCATAAAATGTGAACATTCAATGATTTCATATGACTTGCCAAATGAGCAAGTCCTCGAATGTTCTATTTGCTGTGCAGTATATAAAACCAGATGTGAGCCGTGCAGTCACGAAGAAAGATTGCAATGTGATTAAAGGTGTTTTTCGATGCCTGGAACATATCAAAAGAGAAATTGCTATACAGTTGAAGTGGAGAGATCAATTTAATTCATTGTTAAATGTGGAATGAACTGACAATTTAGATAAGAGAAAGTCGGTCTACAAGTAAGTAGTTTTGCTACAATTTGGAGCTGTGTTTTGATGTAATAAAAGAAAACAAATAGTAACACTTTATTTTAATTAAGTCGAGTACATGGCTTTCTCGACCATGGCACAAAATGTAACTTTAAAGACTCCATTTAAAATCTTTCTTTTTCTCCAAACTAATATTATACTACTATATAATATTATTGTTGTTACCTTTCTGTTTATTATTTTGCTTTGATGAATGATTATTATCATAAAATATTGACATATTAATTTGGAACATGGTTAATTTTTTTTATAAGCATCATTATTCTTTGGCATTACTTTTATACATATATCTTATACTTTCATAATATTATCTTTAAATTTCATATTATTAGCTTTACATGGATTTCTTTAAATACGCATTATATACTTGAATTTATTTTGTATGACCCGTTGGCCCCCCATTGAATAATATTTTTGTATGGTGGGCATTGCTGTCATTGATGATATAAAAGTCTCAGTTTGTGTGATGAATTATCATTCGGACATGGACTTCACAGCGGTAAGCACTTATCTGAGCCTTTATTTTTAGAGTTAAGCTTTTACTTTGATTTACTCTTTTGCTAGCTTAGGCGTAGAATTACAGGTTGGTAAAATGTGAATGTACAACAGGTTTGAAGGTTAACCAACCATTCTGTTGTCGACTATATAACGCTTACCAAATTCTAGTAAGCAGCCAAGCGGGATAATCCACAGACTTATTATCACGAAAGGGGCTAGGAGAAGTAGTAGAATTAGCCAGGAAGTGTATAAGATGATGAGAAAATTAACTGAGTTAACCGAAGACTTGATCGTTCCCTCACAAAGAGTAGCTTTCTGCTTACAATACACTGAGAACAAGTAGGGCCAATTGGTTAAAGAAACAAGGGCAGGACGTCAAAATTGGCGTCTTCTGAAATACAGTCCAGCGTACAAAAAACATTGTGTCTATAAAGCGGTATTCGTTAAAGTGCGATGTTAGGCGCGTATCTTCCATTTTAAAAAAATTGTCTGTAATAAACCCTGAGAAAGACTGAGAGCTAGATGGTAAAAACCATGTCTATTTTTTCTTCTCTTCCATTGCGTTTGTTTACATTGAATGCATTGATTTGCTTTTTAATAATTTGAGTGGTTGAATTTTGTTAGTGAAACGTCCTATACTATAATAAATATGTTTTAGAAATTTACCGTAACATTTTGTTGTTTCATGTGATGAAACAGAAGAATCGAGACTATGACGTCTGGTATTATTTCTGCAGCGGAATTGACGGTATTATACAGGAAGCATAAGTTCCAAATGAAACGCCTGAAAAGTTATTGCAGTTTTTTATATTTGCCTCAGCGTATATTAATTATCCATTCTTTGGGGCTTAGGAAGAAGGGAGGATTAGAGTACGCAAGGCATACAGAAATGGTGCAGTGGTCTGAGTTACCGAGAGATGCAACGATTTTAACTTTAAATGGATACGCTTGCATTATGCGCTGGTTCATTTATATGTTGCGTTACGCAATTCTCAAGTGTCATAATCTCTGCGTTTCGTCCCTCCGCAGATATATGGTCTATTGGAGCAACCAGGTGTGGTTGTGAACGTTGGAACCGCCAGTAACCACGACTTCTCTCTCGGAGTAACAATGTAGAATAGAAAATATTTTGCTTGATAAGGTGCTGAAGCCATTAGAGGATCCTACCCTAGCCTGAGCTTCTATAAACAACTTCTAAATGCGTCATAAGTGTCCGGATAGTGAATTTCATCCATAGTAAGATAAATTCGGGATCTTGAGTTCTGGATTGTAGCTGACACTGGAACATTACATTATTGCGGGATATATATTACAAAGTCTCCGTGTTCAACGAAATTTTGGGCAATTTGGTAAAGGTGATCTATATGATTATAGCTTACCTGGGTTTCATAAAAAGCGAGAATAGCGGAGAAAAATTTGCGTGTGTGCGTGAAAAAATGTGCACACTGACCATGTACGTTACAATTTGCTGTTGTAGCTTGGGGAAACATACAAGCTATGAGTGTTGTTTAGAGTGTTATATTTGCTTTTTGTTGTGGTTTTGATGTGATTACTACTTTATTTTTGTTGTTGTTATTATTGCTATGATTGCTTTCCTTTGTATTGTTGTGTTATTGTTGCCTTTTTTTACTGCTGTCGCTGTTCTGCCTTTATATTGGTACTGCTCTTGTTAATGATATTAGGGTTATTGTTAACTTTACTGTTATACGCTTATTATTGTGTTTGTTGCAAGTCTTGATGTTGTTGTTGCGGTTGTGTTTTCGATTCCTGTTGTTGGGAATGGCGGTGTCGGGATTGCTGTTGTTATCGTCATTCTTCTTAATGCAATAGTAGGTGTTGTAATAAATTTCAAAACGTTTGAATGTGTACAAATATTTCATTATGAAAAGATTCCCTATGAATCTTTCCCAAGTATGACCAAGTGTTGTTGGTGCAATGTTGTGTTCATTTGGAGTTGTAGAATATTTCCTAAACTGTTCGATTTCAATGAACTAAATCAATCTGCCTCTTGAAAATGTCAATTGATTTCGGCATGGGGCAGTCCCTGTC